TCAAATTCAAATCCAGATTTTTAAATCAAATCAAATTCAAATAAGCCTAATATTTGATTTGATTTTGAGAAACCCTATACAGGTCGAATGAAGCCATACTGGATATCTATCGGTATGCTGATATGTCTTCTAAAAGTTACCAATACGTATATGACAACTATCTCCTAAATTAATCCGAAATATTACTGATAAGTAACTGATTAAAACAGATTTTGGTGCAAATTCAAGACTTTTTAGTAATTATTAGATACCTTTTATTATAACATTCATAGTCTTATCGGTGGTTCTAATAATATTCTTAGATAAACCTAATAGGTATCTTGTAGTTCTATTAAGTATAAGGATACCAGATACTTATCAGTTTTTTTTAGAGACTTATCAGTATATCCAATAGAGCTATTTACTAATTTATATTTATCAATTCATAATTTGATAACTTTTATTTATAATAGAAAAGTATAACTCATATATAATATATTATTGAAAGCAATATCTCAATAATAATTCGCATATACTGCATATTATGCAATTGCTAATACTAATACAAATAATATAATTTTTTTTACAAAAAATATGCTATATCAACTATATGTAGTATAATGTCTAAAGCTATAAAATAAAAAAAAATATACGTTGCTGTTTTGGTAGAATTTCTATTTACTGGAAATATCATTTGCATTGCTGAAATTGTCATGTTCTTCATTATTATTGTTGATTTCGTTCTGGGATTCATCATAATCGTCATATAATTCATCATAATTTCCATTGATGTCATCTTCAGTGCTACTTCTGGTATTTCTTTCATCTCCATTATTGCTACCGCTACCACTACCACTTGGAACTACTTCTTTTTCATTATTATCGTCTTTCAGAACATAAGAAGCAGAAATGGACTACTCGGGAGTATCGTTTGGAGGTTTTGATTTATCGACCCATCTGTTGTCATTGTACTGCCGCTTCCTTGACAGTTTAATGTAGGATATTTTTTCTCCCATTTCATTGGCCAACCATAAAATTTTTTTAATCTATAGTTAAAATAGAATAAAAAATAAATAAATAAATTTAAAATGAAATAATAAAAGGCTTACTTACTCTACAAGATCTTCAGAGCTTATCGTAAACATAGAGAATATGGTTATCAATCTTTTTATTTAGACATATTTTTTGTCATTTTTCTGCCTTCATAAATTCAACATCTGTTTCTGAAATTTCATCAGAATGGTAGTTCTATTGTTAATAATATCTTCAAGATCTTCTTTAAAATCGTCAAAATCTATCAACGGTGCAAGATCATTAAGGTTTCTATCTTTGGTATTGATCATATGACCAATACCACAAATTCACTTTTTCTTTTTCTACAAATCATAAATTTAAAAAAAAAAAAAAAAAAAAAAAAAAAAAAACTGTTCTTTTATAAAAAAAAAAAAAAAAAAAAAAAAAAACCGTTCATTTATAATAAATATCAGCAACCCAGTAGTTTTATAAAAATGATTTATACTTACATCAGAACGTTGAGCATTTACTCCCTTTCTTTTTCTATCGACTTTTGATTTATCCTCATTTTGATCTATAGACCATTTTTCACATCGGTGGCGGTGAAGGCTTTGGAGAATATACTTAAGTTCACTAATTTTATATCTAAAACGACTCTCCAAAGCCTTACCGATCACTAGTATAGTTTGTTTGGATATTTTTTCATAAATTTCTATCCATCTTTTTGATGGATCAAGCTACAAAAAATTATCAAGGCCATCTAAGATATTGACTACCTCATCCTAATTAAATAATAGTAATTAATAACTACAATACTATTAATTATTATAATATCATTGACATACATGAAAAAGCTTATATTGATCAGAATCCATATCTTCTAAGAGCTCACGTAGTCTTCTCTTGTAACCGGTAGGAGCTTCCAGAGTTACTGAGGGCTTTTTTCGATTTTTCTCACAAACATCTTGCTCTTTTTGCTTACTCTTGTCTTTATTTGTAGTAGCTTTGGTCGTATCAGTGTTGCAGGGTGCTTTAGTAGTTTTAATAGTTTTATTAGTTTCATTAGTTTCATTAGTTTCATTAATTTCATTAGCTTCTTCAGGTGCTTCAGTAGTTTTGTTATTTTCAGATGCATTAGTAGTGTGGGTATTTTCAGGTGCTTCATTAGGTTTGTTTTCATAGATTGTTTGATTATTATCATCCACAACATGTACTAGACGATCTTTCGGTGTAGTTGATTTATCGGCTTTTAATATTCTTACTTCATTAATTAGACTTTGTACTGTAGTTGTTAAAAGAGCGATTTCTATTAATATAAATCTTTTGTTAAACACATCGATAATTCAATAGCTCTATTAGTAAAAACTTTTACCGCAAAGCTAAACCAAGCAAATCTTATAAGATTTGCTTGTTTTAGCTTTGTAGTACTTTTTTTTTATATATATAGTCACCTTTATCCTTTTGTTTATTAGGACTTCTTGAGTAGCGGCGAAAACGTTTGTTTGCTGGTGAAATAGATCTTCGACTACGACTCTCAGTATCTTGATAATTTTTATTAACGTTCCGATTCGAAGTTTCAGATCGGCAGTTAGGCGGTATGTTGGAATGATAGTGATTTCTGCGAGGTGGAGTTACAGAGCAACGATTATTTCAGCGAGATGAAGTTTCAGAGCAACGATGGTTTTGACAAATTGGAGTTTCAGAATGATGATAACTATGGCTTTCGTATTGATTTCAATTAAAAATGAACTGGCGGCCTTGCTGATAAGGTACTGTTGATCGTAGTGGTATACTTCTTTGAGGTGACATGGACGGAAAAATTGAACATTACTTAAAATAATGTTAATTCGGTATGAAGTTCTACCTCGCATTTTCCAAAATTGGATCAAAAAAAAATTTATATGAATGGGATTATTGGATATTCTGTTACTTTAATTTGAAAAAAAGGAAAGAGACAAGAAAAGTGATTTCTTTTATATGAATTATATCTTATTTATTAAGTAAGCTTTAATTTAATATAATAGTATACAATATGTAATAACAGATATAGTAATGATATTTATGAGCGAAGCAAAAAGTCAAATAGATGTTACTAAAAGAAGAATGACACGAAAAAGTCAAACTTGATAACGTATGTTAAAAAAAATACATGATTTATTTATATTTTTTATAGCCAGGTCTTATTTCCAAAAGACAATATGATTATACTTATGATTGCGTTAGATGATTTTAAAACGCTGTTAATTTAATATTGGGCTTAAAATTTACAATCAGTTATAATATATATTATTATATAATCTATATATTGTAAAATTAAAATTTACACTATGAAATTAGTAAATAACTTTATTGAACACGATTGAAGAATTACTGGAATATGGATAACTTTTTGCTAATTTGAATTACTTAAAAATTAAATCAAAAAGTTTAATTTCCCGATACACAAAGTAAAAAAAAATTATATAGGCTGATTTATTGATTTTGTTGTATAAAAAATATATAGAAAAATTGAAAGATCTATTAATCAATCTCATATTATGTGGATTATAATCGAAAGGCATATCAGGATATTAATAACTTTTATAATTAATTCAAATCACTAAAAAAATATCAAAACAAAAAACATATATACATAGCAAAATAAAGATGATTGATATGATTGATATGTTAAGAAAGTATAACGAAAGATCTATCAGTAAGTTTACATATATTTTTTAAAATCTGATTAAATAAAAGGTTTATTTGTCAAAACAGAGTATAATTGTATCGATATGTTAAGAAATACAACGAAGGATCTATCAGTGTGTTAACATATCTATACATGTGTTTTTTTAAAACCTGATCATAAAAACAAATAGTATAATTTTCAAAACATAGTATAATTGTATTGATATGTTAAGAAATATAACGAAAGTGGTTAACACTTTTTTTTTTTAACCTGATCATAAAAACAAAGAACCTATTAGGCCTATCGGTATTTCAAAAAAAAGTATCAATTTTTTTTTATTTAAAGCTTTATTTTTTCTTTCCTCTATATTTTTCTTACAACATTTTCGTCCAATTCTAAACTCTATTGCTCATATACTTTGATTTTATATCTCTTGTCTTTCTCTCATTCATATATCCACTTATATATTTCTGATCATATATTCTCTATCGTTTATCTATATCGCTTATTATTTCATGGGTTATAAAAAAAAATTTTTAATTATTGAAAAATCTGACAGTCCTAATGTTAAGCATTTAAAAAATCACCACCCTGAACCTTGCTATTGCAATAGTTGTAAAGGTATTCTGGTTGATCCAAGAACAAAGAAAGCTCATATGATTAAAAAGGTCATCATAACAAGAAATTTTGTTGAAGTTGGTAGACCTTCAACAAGCACAACTGCAGAAATAGGCTTTACGGAAATGGAAATTCCAGAAATAGAATTTTTAAAAATAAAAATTCCAGAAATAGAAATTTCAGAAATAGAAATTCTAGAGAAACCAGTACAAACTGATACCAGCAGTACTGATAATAGTTCAGTAGTTTCTTATGAAGCTAATTATAATTTCATTACTACAAGTTATTTCAAAAAAGGCAAGAAATTGGCTTATATTGGAGAAAAGAGAGCCTAAATACCTATGCAATTAGTCAAAAGCATGTTTTTAGAAGATGAATGCGATATAAGTGATTGTATAGATGATCTATTTAAAGATCAAGATGAAAATTTAGCAGATAAAATTAATTTTAATACACCGGATAATACAAATGAAGATGTCGATATATCTAATGAGCCTATAGATATCTTGATAGGTTTCACATAAATTTTAGCATGGGTTCTCAAATTCCAAGAGTGGTTTCGATTGTCCGATATAGCAACCAATATTTTATTAAAATTCTTTCAGTATCTCTTAATTCATCAAGACGCGAATATATATTCAACTTTTCCTACTAGTTTAGATTTGGCACGTCAAGTTCTTGGGGTCTGTGCTCATATGGTCAAGTATGCAGTATATGAAAAATGTTGTAAGCTATACAGTGTTGTCAATATATCAACTGAAAAACCAAATACAGTATCTAAATTTAGCTATTGCACTTTTCAAAATTTTCTAAATCATCTAATAGCAAATCAAAGACATCTGTATAGACCAGCACTTATTTTCTCTACTATTTCTTTGGCAAATCAAATTAAGTTGTTGTATAATAAGAGAAGATTTGAGAAATCTTGCAGAAAATAGGTCAGAAGGCCTATTGATCCTACTTTGATGACTAATATTTATGACAGAAGAGTTTGGAAAACCTTCCAAGATCCTTGCGAAGATTTACCATTTTTCCAGAATGATGTATCAGATTGTAATTTAGGGTTAATGTTGAACTTGGATTGGTTCCAACCTTTCGATAATTCTCAATATAGATAAATATTAGTTTTTATTAATCAAGTTTAAATTAGAATTTTTATTTTAGTTAATTTTATTTTATTAAGCCAGTTATAAATTAGAAATTTTAAATATTTTCTTTTTAGTATCAGAGCTGTCTATGGTGTAATTTGCAATCTTCCACGTGATGAGCGATTTAAGCCATCAAATATTCTAATGTTAGCGTTGATTTCTGGGGCCGAACGAACCTAAGTTGCATCAGTTAAACCATTTTTTGGCCCTTTAGTCATCCAGTTAATAGACTTATTTGATGGACTTAGGCTTTCACGAACTTTTGAAAGCCCTACCAGCAAATTTATTAGGGCAGCGGTAATTTGCTGTTCTTGTGATATACTGGCCACAAGAAAATTGTGTAGTTTTATTTTAGCATAAATTGCTTGCCATAGATGCTTGAAGAGGACAAATTTCAAAAGAAATTAACTAAATTTTGACAGATTTTCTGATATGAATAAATGGTTTATTGAAAAGGATATCAATGCAATTCGCCAAGATACTATCACATAGAAAGATTGTAATACTGAAGATGCATGAAAAAAGCATATATTAGAAATATTAGTCTGTTAGTCAGAAATGTATTGGCTTTCCTACTTTAACTCGGTCTGGTTTACCATAATAGATCTGATGCATTGTCTATTTTTAGATATAGCTAAATGGATCATGTGATTATAGATAGATGAAGCCATTTTAATATCACAGAATCTAGCATTAATGGACAAGCGAGCAAAAAAAATACAAGTTCCTTTAGACATTGGCCAGATACCTTACAAAATTGCAATGGGGGAAGGTTTCTCAGATTTTACAGCAGACCAATAGAAGACTTTTGTTCTGTTGTACACAACTTCCATTACCTGAGATTTGTTCCGAGAATTCGACTAAAAAATTTTAACATATTTTGTTCGGGCGTGTTCGATTTTGGTATGTCAGATTTTATACAAAGATAAGTTAGAAGAAGCGCATCAATATTTACTCAATATAGTGAAGCTTATTGAAAGAAATTATGGACCTGAAAAAATAACGCCTAATTTATATTTATGTTTACATATATGTGAATACGTTATAGATTATAGACCAATATATACTTTCTAGTATTTTAGTTTTGAAAGAATGAATGGTTTTTTAGGTAAGTTGTATATTTAAAAAAAAAATATTGATTGATACATTAATGTGCTAATAGCTCTTGTAACTAATTTATAAATTTATAGATTCAATTTATAGTAGCAAAAGAAGAATTGAACCAGAATTACTTAAAACTATACAATATTATTCACTTCTGAATGAGATTTCGACACCAACTGAAGGCTATTTAAAAACTTGTTTACAATTCATTGAAGCAAGAATGATGAATAGTAGTCTTGCTATTAATAGTAATAATGATAACTGAGAGTTTCTTTTAATGTCTGTAAACGTTGAAGAAAATTCTGGTATAGGCTTTGAGTCATTTCCAGGAGAATTACTAGAGTCGAAGAATAAAAAAAAGCTTCTGGAAGAAGTATACTCTTTGTTGACAAGTTATTATAATAATGCATATTATTATAATTTTGTATCATTAGACAAAATTTATATTGCTGAATCAGATGCTATAGTAGTATTACCAAATATTACTATATATAGAAGGGTAAAGATTGGTAATAAAATTTTCAGGTCAACTTACTCTAAATAGTATAAAAAGTCAGTAAAAATTCTCGCAAAATTTATATTGAAAGATAATTCTATCAATATATTTCCTGGCATTGTTCAATACTATTTCGAACACGAATACAACTACCAGAAGGATCAAAAAAACATATATTGGTATTCATTTGGTAGTATGAAATGGTAGATAATCGAAAGACAAGATTTTATTGTCAAGTTGACGATATTTGTAATATCGAATTATAGAATCAAAATTTCTATAATATGAGTCAAGATTGTATAATCCCTATACATAATATAATAGGTTGATTTGTTTCTAGTACTGTCAAAGTCAGAAAAAAAAACCCAAAGAATA